ATTAACACAGATATAGCAGCATGTCAAAATGTAAACATTACAAAAAGCTGCCATAACAACATACATTTGAAGGCGCCCAGAAGCCATTCTAGGGTCCACAGATAAAAATTAATCCAAAATATTTATAATAAAAATATTTCACGATGAAAAAATCGCCACATAACATCTCTTTTTTGACATCAGAAAAGTTAGTTGGTCATAGCTAATGACATTCTTCCTTAAATGCTTGTCTGCGATGTTTGGTATGTTTCGTTACATCATCTTCTTACCACGAAGACAAAAGTGTCCGTGTCTTTGTATGACTCGATTTGAGTCAGGGACAGCTGATAAAGTCTCACAAGCGCTCCTTGCTTGTCAGCCAGTGACGGACCAAGTAGAGTGATATCACGCCTCATAGAGTCCTGCTGTTATTGGTTAAGACCAATAACAGCAGCAATCAGCTAAGTGGCTTTGTAGCCAATGAAATAAGGTTTCAAACATGGCTGGGCTGCATAAAGCAGAGCTGTGTTACGGGCTTGCATAAAAAATACACTGCTGAGACTGGATCAGTGAGCACAGCTCGAAGCTGTTTACTAACAACGATATTTTTGAAGATTGGACAGTGATTTAGTTTTGTTACAGTGTCAATGCCGAAAAAACAAACAAAATACAGCTCAGAAAAGGAACTGGAGCTAATTTTGGCTTGAAAAACAGTAGTTTCACTATTCTTTATAGATTTTGATGGTATTTTAGGTTTATATTTTACATTTTGTTATATAGACTGATTCTGAAAAAAGTGTAAAAACACTTGCTTTATAAATCTTTTGTGGCCATCAAAATGCTTAAGCGCTATTCTTTAGGTCAAATAGTTATGTTAAAGCATTTGGCACAATTTGGCAAATTTGGAGAGATCTGGAGACTGGACACTGGTGACACCAAAAGTTAAAAGCCCCCCAGCTCTGGAACTGTTAGAGCTAGAGGTCTGAAATCTTCAGCATTTGTGGTTGACATGAAGTAGAATAAATTTAACAAAATGAGACATGCCTATTCTCAAGCATGTCTTTATTACTGCTATTCAAAAACTACCTATTATTTTCTAGAAGAAAAAAATACTCTGAGTCATGTTTGAACTGATGCAGCTTAGGTTTTGTGTTACTTACTATTTTCATATATATATATATATATCCAGAAACTAAAAGATGTTAGGTTTCAAATTATGTATCACACATGAGTGGACAAATAAATAATTAGGTAAAGAACCATGAACCTGTATTATCCAACTGCTTCTCACTCGAAATTATTTACTATCTCTATGTTTTACTGTTAAGATCAAAGGCAGTTACAAGTGAGCCAAATCAGAAAACAAAGAAACAGAATGAAGAGAAAAAGTAAAAGGTGCATATGAGATGAGATCTTTGTAGGATCACAGTTGGTCTTTTTTATTTGTGTCAAATCATTTTCAGGAGTTAGTATTCATTTTTTTATTATAAGAGAATATAAGATTAGGGAAAATCCCCAATATAAGGAACTATTTCCATTAAATAAAATTCTTTATTTAAAATGTGCTAACCTGCTTACTTGACTTTAGGAGAGTTTAAATACGCAAAAAATTATCTGTGATATACACGGGCCCTCCTTTTGTACAATTAATGTGTTACGGGATAAAACGGTTGAGAAATGTCCAATGCACTATGCTGTGATAGATCTGTAGGCTTCTTGATGTTGAATCAGGTTATTTGTGTTATTGACTTCTAAATTGACAAAACAATGTAAACATAAGAGATATGTTGCTATGGAGGTTAGAAAGGGCCATAGCGTTTACTTTAAATTCTGCTTTTGTCACTTTTCTTTGCAAGCAGGATTTATGTTAGGTTCTTTAGATGTAAACTAAACAAGATTATAATACCGTAGGGTATAATCAAATAGGCCCTGCACCAAGCAATCTATTAAGAATATTTGTTCATCATTAGATTTATTTATTTAAATCAAATAAATACAGAAGGCCGCTCCCACTGAGCCTGGTTCTGTTGGAGGTTTCTTCCTGTTATAATGGGAGTTTTCCTCTCCAGTGTCGCTACAAGCATGCTTGTTGTGAGGGATTGCTGAAGAGTCAATGAGTCGATGCAATTTACTGGTTTTCCTTAGATAGAAAAATTTAAACCAATCGAACACCATGATCTGGTTAAATTGTCTCTGTAAAGTGCCTTGAGATGACGTGTTGTGAATAGGTGATATATAAATACATTGAACGGAATTGAAAGGAAAACATTTCCTCAGTGACCTCTAGTGGTGCCTGATATGTAAATTCTTGGTGTCCCTCTTCTGATGAAAGAAAACCCACAATACTAACAGAAATAACATGAATCTGGCAAAGCTAATAAATCAAGAAGTCGATGAAAATTAGTAAATTAAGTCAGATATTACTTTCCAACTACATAATTATTACAATAAAATCATGAAAAAGGCATGGACAAAAATGATGGCACCCATAACTTACTATTTTGTTGCACAACTATTTGAGGCAATCACTGCAATCAAACAATTCCTTTAACTGTCAATGTCAATGTGACCTGTGCTCCATTAAGTATTTTGATTCATTCCTCGTGATTAAACTGCTCCAGTTGTCTGAGGTTTTGAGGGTGCTTTTTCCAGACCGCATGTTTCAGCTCTTTTCAAAAATGCTCAATAGGATTTATGTAGAGCTGGTGTGCCTTAGAAAAAAGTTCAAATTTTTGTCTCATCTGTCCATAGAACATCCTCCCAGAAGCTTCATGGCTTGTAAACATGTTGCTGGACCAGTCTGGCTTTTTAATTATTTGTTTTCAAAAATGCTGTCCTCCTTGCTCATCTCCCTTTAAGTTAATTTGGCTCAAACAACAATGTATGATGCAACCTGACACTGATGGTGCTTGAGCTTGAAGTTCACCTTTAATCTCTTAAGAAGTTGTAACAAGCTCCCTTGTTACAATTCATATTATCCATCTTTTTGGTTTGTTATCAATTTGTTTCCTTCAGCCAAGTTCAAGGTGGTTGAAAGAGGAGGCTCCATGGAACTTAAATGTCTGAATAAAATGTGCAGCTTTAGTCAGAGGAACATCAAGCTGCTTGAAGATGGTCTTATAGCTTTCACCTTTAGTCTTCTTCTCTATAATTTTCTTTGTACCGGTACTCTCCTGAGGCCTAGTTCCTTCACTTCCTCTGATACATGTTGAGTGTGGTACACACCAAATAGCACAGTGCCTACCTGTAGCCCTTTATAAAGGCCCACTGATTGATTACAATATTGTAGACACCTGTGATGCTATGTAGTTGATACTAAGGCATTAATTAGTTAGGATATTTCCAAGTCGACTATTTGGCAGTGAAAGTCGAGTCAATGCATCTTTCTATGACTGCACCCCCTTAAGTCAAGGGGGATGACAATTACTTACACTATGTCTTTCTGCAGCGACAGTCTTGATTACCATAGGTGGGACTAACCCAGCTTTTATTGCCAACTGTAGCGTCTGCTTCATGAGTATGTTTTTGAAAACCATGTTAATGAAGCAGGGTTAAAAAAAGCAATCTTTAATTTGTTAATTTTCACTGATTTTTTTATTTTTGATTAGTTTTGTCAGATTAAAGTGATTTCTGTGCCCATTGTGGGTTTTTCTTTTATAATACGATGGGTACTAAGAATTTTGTTCACTTGTGTAGCTTTTTCTTTAAACATTAGAAAATGTCCCTTCTTCCTCCACTAGATAACAGCAAACAGTTCCAGGACAAGGCTAAGCAATCTGTGTGTACTTTTTGTCTGGCTTTTAAACTCAGGAAGGGAGCCCAGTATAACACACACACACACACACACACACACACACACACACACACACACACACACACACACACACACATATGAGATGAGAACCTCTGGCGTGGCCTTTCCCACCGCTGCCCTCTCTGTATCAACACACTCACACAAACAAGCCTCCCTGCACTGCTCCACAATCAAAGGGCCTTTGTCTCCATTGTATAGCCGCTCCAAAAACACACATACTTATCTCCACACATGTGCATGGACGCTCATCACATCAGGCAAAACAAAAATGACCAAAACAAGGCACACATCCTCTTAATTAAAAGGTCAAGTGCAACTGTATTAGGTGGACTTTTGATTAATCTTTTATAACAATGTTAGCGATCAGCCTTATATTAATAATGCATTAAAAAGTATCCATCCAACACTAATTCTTCTACAAAGGAGATCATTGTTGTGGCAATGTGATTCATGGTTTCTGTTTTGACAAATGTCAATCTAAAAACTGTTGTGTGCATTATAGATGGTGTGTAGAGCCACTATTCACTCCAATTTAATCTGCAAGTCTTTTGCGGCTTTTCTCTACCAACCACCCTGTACTGGTATACGTTTTATTTTTAAAAAACAGCAATCTGCAAAAAAGCCAGAAGCTCAATCTTAGCCTTCGCTCACACGATCCTTCTCTTTCAAACCTTTGCTATTCTCTACACAATTTGTCCTTCTTCACGTCAATCCACTATAAAGGCTACTTGGGCAGAGTGTGCCACAAATAGCTGACATGCCAACAGATCCTCCCAGGTGTCTGTAACTCCTAAAGAGTTACCATGGACCACTTAGCTGTCTGAAAAAGGGACAAACCATTTTCATACCTCTCCATGTTTTTTCCTGACCTCCCCGTTATATTTCTTGAGCTTCTTGGCGCCATTTGTTTACTAATGCCCCCCCCCCAGTCCTTGGGAGAACTGCTCCAATTACTCTGAGATAATATCGAACACAATATATACGAGTTAGCTAAGTGTTTGGATGAAGGCAGCTTCAAGTAATGGAAGGTATGTAAGGATACCAGAGTAAAAGGCAGACGTTAAAACTTATTAGAAGAAATTATAAACTCAATTCTCTAAGGCGTTGTATTGAACAAACAAGGACACCATTACAGTCATCAGAAAAAAAATATATATAATAATCTCTAGAAAAAAAGCCAACTAAAACATCCAAATTGAGTCACATGTGTCAGAAAGTTTATTAAATTCCATATACAAACCATAAAAATATACCAAAAAATATTTGTAAACTATTTGGCCTTAAAAAATGTGCTCAATAAGCACTTATAAGGGTCTTATAGAACTTATAAGGGTATATATATATATATATATATAAGTTTAGGTCCAAATATTTAGAAAAGAGTCCTGGACAAATATCATTGCCACAATAGAGATAGAATCTATATACATGGTTACATAAAAAGAAAGGCACAAATATAAAGTCTGAAGAGATACAAACTCATCTCGACAAGCTGTGCAGGAAAATATGCAGCAATATATTCCATAATGGTCCCGAAATAAGTACCAGGGTACAAACACAAAAATATACATAAATATGTATATATTAAAAATAAAAGTCAAGAAGGCAGAACTACTTTAAATCTTTGGCTATAATTAAATGATGCTGAAATCAGATTTAGATTGTTTCACAACACGACAAAAGGTCGGTGAGTGCCGGTAATACTTATTAGCATACACAACCATGTGAGACTTGCTTAAAGGCAAAGAGCAAAGAAAAGCATCACTGCATGAAAATAACAGTTGAACCCCATGTAAAACATACAAATTATTTGTTATTACTACTTCATAATTGGTGTCACTCCATGTATAAGATTCGCTCTCCTCCAGCAGGAATGAGAAAATATGTAAAACCTCTTCTTTCACAAACTGACATGTTTGAACTGTCTTTCTCCCTATTTTCCCCACCTCATATATGCAAAGGCTTATAGGAGGGTGAACTTTGACCAGTGGATTCAAATTTCCAGAACAGATAAAATCTGATCAGGCTGGTGAAGATTCCTGGCATGTTTGGAACCTGGAATGAACAGAAAGAACATGAAGCAACACAACATGTTATTTTTAGCCATAAAATAGGATGAACACTGTGGATATAATACCGTAATGTAGTAGTCGTTCAGCTGCAGGCCATAGAGAACCCAGGCGGTTGAAGTAAAGAAGGTGGCAACAGTTAGAGGGAAGGATAAGACCTGCACGTTACCACTGCGGATTATTGCTACCTAGAAACAAGAACAGGAGGAAACATTTGATTAAACCAATTTAAATACTGTGGGGGTAAAAGTGTCTGAAAGGGACATTCAAATAGGTTATTTGTTTTTTTCCACGACTACCATGTTTAGATCTTTATTCTAAAAGCACCTTGCTTTAGACCTATGACATTGTGATCCATAGACTGCTAATGGGTAAAGAGGCAATGTAATCATTCAGTCTGTTTGTTTAGAAATTAGGTTTCTAAAATTATAGATGAGAGGAAAAAAAAAACTCTGAAACTGGATTACCAAGTGTGGGAATTAAACCAATTTCAATCAAGGCCTTGTGTATAACTACTATTATTATAAAGTTAACTTTTTTTCTCAGTTAGAATTATAGTTCAGCAATTCTTCTATTATTTGTTTAAGATTTACTGTGGGCTGAGAGAGTGGGAGTGAAGCCATGCAGCAAAGGTCCCAAGGTCAAGAACAGAAGAACTGCCCACTGGCTGCGTCAAGGACTAATAGCTTCCATATATGGCCCACTCTACCTCTAAGCCAAACTCGCTTCCATTTATCAGGACTTCTGTTTGCATCACATTTTGCTTTTCTATCTTCTGATTTTGTCTCTACATTAGCAAAATGCAGTGAAATACATTCTCACCAACTTCCACTGTCACATAATGATAAGCCATTTAGGAGGTTTTCCTAATAAGAACAATGTCTTGCTACTCTACCCATCTCTAGTAGCTTTACTGAATCATGAACAAATGTTTTCACCAAAACTTTAAGACTTCTTCTTTGTATGCATCCGTTTTTGTTTTTAATGTGGATTTTTGTCTACTGAGACATTTGGAAATTAATTTTCAAATACTTTTTATGGTCTTACTTTCAAAAACATTGTAGAAGGGACATTTTTAATTCAACTCAAATACAGTTATACTGAGGTGGCGCTACTCTAAATTGGGTACAATTTTGGCTTCTCTACTGACTTGTAAAGGGCCATCAGTGGTTGCTGGTTAATCTTTCCCTTCTCTATCCCCTGCCTTTATTGTTTTCTAATTTGTAGGGAAGGCTGGTTTGTTCCCTATAAACTGAAGAGGACATTTATTTTTTTTCTCATACCCTGCTATTAAATACTAACCAATAGATCTATTGTCTTAGCATAGAATACAAAGTCAAAGTGTCCCGAATCATCCTGAATTTATGGATCAATGTTTGCATCCTAAACATTAAAGCTTTCTTTAATACTTTGACCTCTTTGTACTTGTCCTTTCAAAGCCTTTTGAATGGGACAGAGAAACTATGAAAACTCGCTCCATCATCTCCATAATGAACTTTAATCCTGATAGATTTTTGTAATATCATTCAGTGTTCTGATTTTAAAAGTCATACAGACGATTCCTGTCTGTCTGATGTTTGTTTGGATGAGAGAAGTTTAGGTATGAAAAAAATGTAGTGGGTCGCTACTATTAGAGCGTCAGGAACAAACAGAACGTAACTAACTGGAAGAGGCACAAAAACAGAGGAGACTCAGCATAACAGGAAGGCAGATGAAGGAATGAAAGGCAGGAAACTGACTGGGGGTCATTCCACAGCTCAGAGGCAGATGGATGGAAGGAGACAAACAGGATGGAGGACAAGCAAATGACATGACATGAAGGGAAAAAAGGAAAGACGGAGCAGGAGACTTATTCCTTCAATTGTGCTGATGCACACATGAGCTGATTTGAATGATAGGTTACAAGCTGAGCTGATGCCACTTGGTGTTAATTATCAGGGTGAAGAATTGCTTTTGACAAAACTTTTTAAATATGATAAATTTCTCAAGTTTATTTTCTTTACTAAAAACTTAATATTTTCAGGCTTCATAATCTGAAATCCTTAAATATAGATATAGATTAAGAATTACATCCTTAGTGGAATAAACTTTATTCTATTAGTTGACGATTTAACAGTGTAGCAGTGTTGCAGTGGATATAAAAACCACCGCTCATACCTAGTGGTTTCCACCTTTACAGATTTCTCGTGTTTTTTGCTTTTCTGTTATAATCAAAGGCGTTACATCTTAAAACAGATTTATACAGACAGAACTAAGCTGAGAAAACACACCATGGAATGTCCATTTTTGTCTTTGACTAATTTTTTAGACCATAAATTTGAACCCTTAGACTAACAACACCTGGAAAGGTTGGCCACTGTTCCATATTTCCCCATCTCTTCAATATGGCTTATACTGTAGTTCACTAGAGCCCAAACGCCTTGGAAATACCTTTATGATTAATTCCAGAACAAATTAAGGAACTGGTCTTTATGGAAAAAAGTCTCCATGCTTTTCTGCAAAACTTGATAAGGAGAAGGAGGTTTAAAAATCAGCTGCAAGACTTGCCACGCAAGGTAGCCACCCTTTCAAGAATGATGCAGTTATAACATAATGTTTATGTGACGACTCACCAAGAACTTGAAATAATTTCCCAACTGAGGGGTTGGGGTATAAAAAGTGAAATGTAGAATTTTATTTAAAGCATTCTTTTCCTGGCAACAGGAACATTTGGCTGAGTTTGTGTATCGTTTAGAAAGGAATGGTATGAGACCTTCATGCTAAGGATTTCCATATATGCTCGGTATGCAAACCATGCATAGCATATTAGCATATGATAAAAAAAGAGCAACTGTGAAGAATGAAGCACTGCAGCTTTGTGAAGGTGCAGCTGACATAAAGATCACATGCAGTACTAAAGAACAACATGCATTAAGAATAGAGTTTACTGAAAAACATTTTAAAACTGGACTTCTGAGGGACGAGCTGGAGACGTTGGGAGTGGATACCCCATTACTTTACTGGCTAACTACAGTGTGTAAAAATCATGGGGCTGCATGTCGGACACCCTGGTCTGTAGTATAGGTGCTCCGCTCCACAGAGAACGGTGCCTCATTACAGATAAGGACTCTGAGCACAAACAAGGCAAACAGAACCTTCCGGACTGGTACCAGCAAAGCTACTGTTAAAGATCCAGGGAAAGTATATTGAGATTATGGACTTTTATACATATCTGTCTGTAATCCTGAAGAACAAGCTGGATTATAGTGACACCATTGTCAATCTTTACTGGACTGAGACTGAGGTATTGGAGGTGATGGGTGGACACCAGAAGACCTTATCTAACTATGTGATGGCATCAGACATCTTTTATTTTGTAGTACAGTGCAGGTGATGGAAGAAAAAAATTATTGTTGGACAATGTGTCCAACCCCATGCATGAATGTTTGCAGAGCTGCTCCGTTAAGGGCTGGTTATCCTCCCGCAGCAGTGTGTCGCAGTGAGATTTTCGCAGATATTTTTGATTTATGCCCAATATTGAAGCGTGGTCTGCGCTATGTTATTCCACGCCACAACGCAAGAGGGTCAATCACGAACTAGCTGTGGGTCTAGATAGGCCCGAGGCAGTGAGGAAGTGGGGGCAAGTTTGTGTGATAACAGAGGGACATGAGGGCAAAAAATAGCAGGGATCCAGGAGTCCCAGCGTTCTCGCGCACCTCGCTCTTCTAGCTGGTCGAACTTCATGAGTCATTTTCCACAATGGCGGTCATACAAACAAACCAGCCGGTAAGGTACCAAACAGGAAATACGCATAGTGTAGAGCAGATGTAGATTTGACCAATCAGAGGCCTTGTGTCAGCAGTCACCTACAATTTGGGAGTGTCTGCGGAATGGGTGTGGCCACATAGGCGTTCACTGGGACTCAAACAGTACAGCTGCCTGTCTGCTTCAGGATCCCCAATCAGCATCCTAAATGATCTAGTTTTTTCTTTTTTTTTTTTTCTTACCAATGCCTCTTTTGCCTCCACCATGACCAGAGAGAGCACCTGACTTTAAGGCCATTAATACCTGACAAAGTTCACTATTCTGGGTCTTCCTATGAAGAAGCGGCAAAAAAAAAACCACCACCATTGCCGACGATGATGCAGAGAGAAGCGCTTTTTTTTTAACCATCTTGAAAATATTGAGGTTTTAAGGTTTGGAAAAATCGCTAGATGCGCTCCAGCCCTACATCCATGTTTACTTCCATAAACACGAAGCACCCTGGCATATGATGTCATTGCACTGCGCATGCAGGACACATAAGCTGTATGAATAAAGTTTACACAGATCACATACAAGTCGCATATATTTGGAAATGTGGACGGCAATGCAAAAAAAACAAATTAAAATCGGATTTCACAAAAACAAAATCGGAATTGAGCATTTAGGCCTGCAGTGGGAACTTAGCCTACAGTAAAGCGTACCACATATGGATGCAAAAGCTGCATCCGCTTCTCCTGTTTGGGTTTAATAAATAGCTTTGTGGGTGCAAAGTATTTATATTTGCATATTCTCTGCTCAAAAATGTGCAACGTTTTGTCATTAGAATACTATCTAAAAATAACAAAATACCTAAACAGGCATATGACATAAACAGGCAACACAGGATATGGTTGCATTTATAATATTCTTTCATCAAATTTCAATGGATTTAAGATAAAAAAAAAAAAGGAATATAAATGGCTGTTTAATGTGAGTGCTGTACCAGGTCTGTGAGTGGAGACATGTACATGCTGACGGTGACCACACTGCAGGTGAGACCAAGCTGATTAAGTCGAGCCTCCCCCTTTGTTAAAAAGGTGGTGAAGTATAACCATCCACAGATCAACACTGCTGCTGCAGCCAGAGTCTGGAGCATCACTTGCCGCTGGAAAAAACACAAAGTGACAACAACAAAGCACATGTTAATCACAACTGCAAATAAGGTCCTATACATACAGTGTTAAGTACAGCTCAAAACATATCAATAAAAGATTTTTATTATAGTAACTTGGTATGAAAAAAGAAATATTATATGCATGTGTAGTTTATACTTTCATTACCAATAAGGGCTCCTTTTGCATGATTTATTACATCAGCATGGAGGCAGACAGCCTGTTGCTGAGGCATCATGGAAGCCTCAATTCATTTAATAACTGCCTTCAACTCATCTACATGGTTGAGTCTGGTTGCTTTTGTTTTTCAGTTGATAATGCCTCATAATTTCTCTGTGAAATCTGGGTCAGAGGAATTTGCCAGTAAAAATTGCATTTCCTTGTTCATTAAAGCAGGCAGTCCACAATCGCCATCCTCAAACAGCTTGTTAGTTAGGCATGAAGTGTGC